ACTGTGAGGTTCAGATCATAGGTGAAAGGTGAGGTGAGAGTGAGAGAGGCTGGGAGTTTAGGAGGCTGGGAGTGTCAGATAATGACTGCACATTTTCAATCACTTGAAACAAGAGGAAAAATAATCACATTTATATTTGACCAACTATCAAAGTTCACATGACTTTTTTTTTTTTGAGACAAATGCCTGGACAACTCCCAGGTGCTGATCTAATAATAGTTACTTTTCCTGCTCTCTGAAACTAAGAGCCCAAGACTTCGAATTCACTTCTAATTTCCAAACTGTTATACGTCAGCAGAATACATCAGGCTAAAATAATCATAGCAATTCCTTGGATTTCTATAGTGCTTTTCCTCTCAAAGGATTCCAAAAAAAGGCAGTTTGCCTGCAGGGATGTATGCGAGTTGGACTGTAGTTATTATGTGGTTATGCTGCAAGAGTGTTAACCCCAGTGTCCTGGCTGCGTTGCCCTCTGGGCTTGTAGAATCTGCCTTTCCTAAATTTGTACATGAGCTCAATCGATAGAGCAGTTCTCCACCTGATCTGCTGTGCTGTTGGGCAGCTACTGCATAATAGTTGCCATGGGTGGGTTCTATGCTTTACTGATGTATTAAGTGGGTCCCTTCCTGCATATAAATCACTACAGGATACAATTAAAATATTGTATTCCTAGGGCCTCCCAAGAGGCTGAACTAGTAAAGTCAGGTTCGAGCCTGGGTCGTGTCACTTGCCACGTGGACAAGTGACACAGAGGGTTGGTTGGGATAAATTTGCCTGGGCTCTCCCAGCTTTCAGCGACCCGTCACCTCTCAAGCACTCGGAGGCAAGTTGTGCCATCAGTTAGGGCACTCTGCCTCAGTACAGGGCTCTGCCGTTTGTCATGTTAAAAAATGCCTGACTCAAGCTAGGTTGGCGTGGTTTCAAGCATCACTTTGGTCATTCAAGACACTAAAAACACGGCTTTTCCAGATATTTGGCCATTGTTAATTAGGTGAGGGCAAGAAAATAACCGTCAGTAATGGGTAATTGTAATTTAAAAAATAGTTCAACAAAAGATTATAAAAAATGAGTGATAGTAGCAAATATTGAAGAATGAAACCTCAGCTTTTACAATGTTAATTTTCGTCTCCTTTAAATTTTTCTAGGGATGTGCTCTCAAAAAGTACTAAAATACTTTTTTCTTGCCCAAATTGTTTGCCTTGCAAATAACACAGGGAAAATAAACCGAGAATTACACTAAGCCTACTGTATGTAACAATTAAAAAATGTGATCATGCTACTAGAAAATGAACTCCTCAATTCATCTGTGAAATTGTTACAGATAAAAATAACAAGAAAACATTGTTTTACTAAATATCTGTAATGGAGACAATAAGAAAAAAGTGTAACAAGACAAGTTTGTGTGCCATAGGAGTAATGTAATAACTGAAGAGACTTACAATTGCTTACATGGCATGTCATTTTTCCTGACATTCGAGCAGTTCAGCAAAATAATTCTGTTAATAAATTCTACATAGGTGTACTGTGCTCCCCTGCAGTAGAAGCCACATTGCCTAATGTCAACACTGCTGTCCAGCACAGTCTGGAAAAGCATAACACTTTCACCAAAATAGCATCAAACCTAAATCACACTATCCATGTTGGTACCTGCATACATCATTAACCAATGCACTTTAAAATCCTTTAAACTTAACAAGGAATCATGAAGGTTACAAAGATATTGAAAAAGCACTGTTAATGAAATTATTAATAAATTCACATTCCCTATAAGAATGTGTCATGCTGTTTATACAACATGAAAAACTATGTAAAAAAGAACCTTTATTGGGAGAAGGAAGTCTTTAACATTCTGTTTCATTCTATATATCTGTGGGTCTAGATTCCTTGAGTTCTAAATTTCCCACACTCCAAGATGTGATAAAACGGTTACTCATTTCTGAAAAATGCCCAGACATTCGATTTAAAAAAATATTTTGAAAGTTACAGAGCTAAAAATAGCTTGAGGTGTTTTAGGTTTAGGGTTTGGCTCTGCAATTGTGCAGTATCCTTCAATTAAGACATTTATGCATGTGTCAGTGTTGCAACCTTGGATCATGAAGACAAAGTTGCTTGACTGACCTAAGATGATGAATGGCACAGTAGCTATTTTGGCTAAGGATTCTCTATAACTTTTACAAGAAATTTCATAGAAGAGCTGTAATTTTGAGTTTTACAGCTATATTGTTTTGATAAAGTCCGAACACTCAAATCTTGACAAATATTTTTAAGAATGAGCAGCTAAAAAATAGGAGGAGAATGAATTAAAGGAATGCATAAGCAAATCACTTACTGTATGTATCAGACAAATGTATCATAGAGTTTTGTAGCAACTGAACAAGTGAGGGCCATACTAACACATACAGTCCTGGAATGGATTACAATATTATGAATAACAACCTACTGTAACACAAGATGAGTTAAACCAGATTTTTCTGAAGGCTAAAATGCTCATCTAATTTGTTGTGGGAGGTGAACTGCTAGTAGTGCTAGGAAGATCCAAGGAACGCCTTAAGTACTGCTGTTACATGACTGCACAGTTTTAATTTGTTTACTTGCTGAATAGACTCTCCAGTAAGTGCTTACCTGTACATACATACATACATTTCTAAGTACTACCCTAAACCAAACTATCATAAAGCCTTAATATCAACCCAAATCCTCACACCAGCATTAAAGACTATTTGTGGCTAAAAGAGTTTGCCCACTATTAACATACAGTAAGAGTTTTTATATTGCAAATAGAAACCACACCACATAAAATTTAAATTATTTTCTCCATTAGATCCTTGCGTAATTAATGAAATACTATTTAGGCTGTTTAAAATCCTTAAACATTCCGGGGTGCAGAATTATTACCATTTTCACTGCACTGAAGCAATTAACTTCATTTGTGCTCTCTCTCTTTTCAGGCATACTTGTTAATCAGAATTACTCTGCAATACAGCCAGACCAAAGTGATTGACACTAAGGCTAGATGAAAAAAGCAGATTGCATTCATTAAAATAACTGAACAGCAGGAGATCTTCAGACATTAAGCGGAGCTGTACAAGGATGTTCAATAGCAGCACTATCTTGCGCATACATAGTTTTGGAATTTAGGTAACACAAAAAATTATATGCCAAGACCTCTGAAGGAATTTTCTATGGTGAAGATCAGGAAATAAATTTGGAAGCGTTTCAGTGTTACACAGGCTTCAGGACACACTGTCTCAGTGATGTTATGGCAATTTGCTTCATGACATGATGCTAAACTAATTCCTTACTGCATTTTGCTGTCAAATTGTTTTGGAAAGTATTAAAGCTTTTCCTTCTGGAATGATCAGCAGGATGAAGCATCTCCTCAAGCACACACGGATGACAACTAAAGATGCTACATAGCAAATAAAGCAAATATACAACAATGAACACAAGTTTATTCTCTCCCAGAGGCAGTGTGTTACAGAACGAGAATGTTACCACATTTAAGTTGTTCAGCTGGGCTGATTTCCACCTGAGTGGTAACGGCTCCACATCCTTGACAGATCTAAACTTTTGACTGAGTTTTGAGTTCTCAGAACATGTCCCAGCAAGTATCTCATGCTCGTCTTTATCACTACCACTTCCTGCATAGGTGAGGACAACCATTCAGTCAAGAGTTAGGTAATTTCCCAGATGAGTGAATACATAGCTACAGATAAAGGACAGATGCACCATCACAACATCAGGACAGCTGCTGTTGCTAACTTCATAATTCCAGTGTTCTCTCAGGATAAACAGAATTCAGGTTCTAAGGCTACACTAGGAACCTCTGCACACAGTTTGATAAAGCACACTGCAATAAACTCTGTCTTTTGTACTTAAACATACATAAGGAGAACTTGGTAAACAAATCCACAGAGCACAAAGAGCAAACACCATGTCCCCTTGATCAGCACAATCTTGGCTTTATGTTGTATATTTGTATTACATGTCTTCTAATTGTATGAGCTCACCAAACCAAATTCAATGCAACTAGTTATGGTAAAGTATTGGACTTGACAACCCCAAACGAATCAATTTTCCAGCAGCTTTATGCTCAGTATCTCCGATACAGTTTGACAGATCACCATCAAGATTGGGTTACCGATTACAAAACAGGTTTCCATATACTAACACAGCTCAAGACAACCTTGGCAAGCCTTCTAGTTAATCAACCAGTTGTCCAGAAATCCGAGATCTAAAAAAATAAAGCTACTGAACTAGGTAGCATTCTACATTTCTCTTTAATTTATAGCAGGATAAATCTGATTGTGCACCTTTCCAAGTCAGCCTATCTCACATTCTTGTGTACATTACCCATCATGCACTACCTAGTTTCAGATAGCATACAAGCAACTCTGGAAGACATATATTGATGTCTCTCACCCATGAAACAGTATACGTAGTGAGATTCATGTAAATGTGAAATACTTAAAATTCTAATTACGGTAATACACACTATTACAAAACATTTCCAAAAGCTCTATACCCAAGCAGAAATATCAACTAATTTTATTAAACCATTCAAATGGAAACCGCTCACTTGGGGAGGATTCATGGTCTTCTGCTTACACATTTAGAGTTAATCACTCAGAAACCACTGATTTCACAAAGGTGTTTTTTCACAAAAGAAAAGAAAGATACCCGTCTGATTTTGGAAAATCTTGGCAAAAAGCAGAAGCTAAATTTAAAAAAAACATCCTAAAACTTGAAAACAAGGGTTGTTCTGAATACAGTTTTTATATATAAAATAATAGAGTACTTTACACTGTTAAATGTTTCAACCATTTGTTTTTAAGCAGAAGAAGAGAAACATGTCTATTGGACATCTTTCGCAAATTCTGACCACTCACTGGTAACCGACTGTGGCGTTTACTTTAAATCTTAAGTCTACTCAAACTGTAAATATTGTATTTGTAAGTGTGTTGAGCCAGTGAGCTTGTTTATTTAAGACAGTACATTACCAGGAGCTCGTCCATGCTGGTCTGGCATTTCTCCAGGTTGATCCGCTTGATGGCCACCTTCTCCTTCCTGGGCACGCAGTAAGCTGCCTGCACCACCGCCGTGGCTCCGCTCCCTGAAACACACGCAAGAGAGCGGTGAGGCTGCCGCACTGCTCTCCGTGTCCCATCAATAAACGCAGAGTGATCAGCAGGGATTGCCAGACTGCACAGAGACACTGTCTGTCGGCACCATTTTCCGCATCTCCGCGACAGTCCTGATAAAGGGAGAACGGAACGTCTGCAGTAGCAATCAGCTGAAAAGGAAAAAGCACAAAAAAAACTTTGTTGCTGAAAGGTAAAAAATACAAATAACATAACCTGGAGAACTACGACATTTCTATAAAGGGTTCTTCCAACCCTGACAACTCAGTGATTTGGAAGCGAATTTTGCTGCAGCTAAATGATACATTCACTTAAACTTAAATGCATGGACTTAAGAAAAATACTTAAAAGCTTTTTTCTACAATATTGAACAGCACAATCACGTCAGCACTGATACTAAACCCCTTTTTATATTTATAAATTGTTCACCAACATCCCAACGCAGACTTTAACATAACTGGATTTGCTGGAATCTGGAAATTTTCTCTCATCACTAAAGGCAAAGCACAGAAATACCCTGAAAGAGAGGAAGCACACTACAGGGGAGGGCATTTAAAACTTAGCACAGGAGGCACTTCATGACACAAAGTGTTGTGGGAGTCTGAAGCAAGCTACCCAGCCACGTTATTGAAGCTGATACCCTGGCTTCTTTCGAGAAACACTCACATGAGATTATCATTTTAATCAGCTGGCAAAAGTCAAACCAGCTTGATGAGCCAAATGGCAGCCCACCCACACATTTGTAAACATTATGCTCATTTCAGAATTGCTTTGGATGTGAAGAAAGTGCAAGGCTTAAAAAAAATAATCTTTAAAAAAAACATTAAAAGCTACAGTGCTGAAGTACTATTTTTTACCCATCATCAGATCTCAAAAGCTAAGCAAGGCTAATTCTGGCTTTATACTGGGATGGCAGACATCTAACTAAAATCAAATTGCAGCAGTAAATGGTGGTGTTGGTAGATGACACTTGTGTCTGGACAAGAAATGACTTGCTAATGCCACAGCATGGAGACAGGCGCCACCCTTCACATGAGACCTAACTTAAGGTCTGATGCCGTGTTCCTTAAAGATCCCATAGCACTATTCATAAGCGGGATAGTTCTTCATACACCATTCCTATATGCATGGCACTCTGGGATGCTTTGAGATAGAAAGGGCTATACAACTGCAAAGATCCGATCTATTATAAAAAAATCGGCAAGACCGCAAAATAAATGTCTGTTGCACCTCACCTTTTGTTCCCCCCGCCCCCATCAGGTACCCCCTGTTTTTTGCACTAAAGAATTCTGCGCCTGCTCTTTTCATTATATATGGTGGCATGCTGTCCACCTGCTTTTCTTTTCTCACTAACCACTATTTAGACAATGCACTCTCAGCTTAAGGTATGAGCAAAGAATAGATGCTAAACTACTAATCGTATTACAAGTAACAAAAGGGTCTCAGAATTACTTCTTAACAGACTTATTCCATTTATTATAAGTTGTTTTTTCCCCCCCAAATGCCAAATTCTACTTTGTTTTGATGCCATCACAGGAAGACCCAGTGTGTACTTACAGGTCACATGGTAACACAGCGGCAGACAGCCAGGAATACAGGTCTGTGGAGTACTGTTGTCAATTGGAGCCAAAGATTTCAGGGAACTATTATTACCCATGTGTTATAAAAAAAGGCACATTTTGTATTCCAACAGTACACTGCTTTCACAAGCTTTTTAAAAACATCTTTATATTTAGGCTTGTTTTTTTTTCTTTAAAGAGCATTTAGAAAGAAAACAAATGTGGGCAAGAGGTGTGACAAGGGAGGAAAAATGCTGAAGACAGGGCTGCATTATAGGACAACAGAGTTTCCCCAAACTCCCCTGAGAAAAACCCCTGCAGCTCAGCAGACACACAGAGGCCATGTGGCCCCAGTGGTCAGGGCAAACGGCCAGAACAGAGCTCGAGTCAGGCACTGACTGCAGTCACTAACTTGCTATTTGTCCGTGACCTTCCTGAACCTCTCTCTGGGTAACCAAAACCCTTCTGGAACTGAACTGTTTCAGATCAGTGAGACAGGAAGACAATTATTCTGCAGGGCTAAAAAAAAATCAAATCTCACAGAGTACTTAGGTTTAGTAAGTAACATTTAACAGGAGGTGAGCGTTGCCATGAGAAGATACTTCACTGCAGAAGAACGGCTACATCAGCTGGCTCACAGCTCTTTGAGGTAACATTTCAGTGGCTCAGCTAGGCTGGCATTTCTGCCGTACAATAGGGATGCGCTGATTTGCTGCTCCATGACTGCCTGTGCAAAAGAGAGAGAGGAAAGGCAGATCCTCAGCCTGTGAGCTGTGAGCTGTGTGCTGCTGCGGGCCATGATCGAAGCTGACACACGCAGACAGGGAGGCTGTCTGACTGCGGGGGTTCAGAGCCTGACCTCAGATCCTCTCTCTGTGGGCAGTGGAGGGAGAAACGGGTCAGGATTCCTGCGCGAAGCATGCTGCTGCAGAGTGCTTGAATGAAAAGACTAATTGGGAAGATTCTCATTCTCCCCTGCTACATGCCCCTGTACCCCCTGGTCCCAGCATCTCCTTATGACTCTGTCTTTTGTTCTCTTACAGCAGGACTTATTGATGTGTTACTTTTTCTCTCTCCTTCACACCTGAGGAAGGCTCCACAGCCAAAAAGTGTCGGTTCTTTTCTTTACCTTTAAGCGTGGAATGAACCTTTACCTCTTCCAAGAAGGAAGATGCCTCTTATAAACAAAGAAGATTCTGTTTTCAGGCCACTACGCTGCACCATTATCTGAGTTTATCCATTTCCTCTGTTTTATCTTTTACTACCCTTAATCTACATTGGAATTTAATTGACATGATATTGCTATGAAACAGCCATGTCAATTAACATTTTCTTATTATTAATCGATAAAACATGACTTTTCTCTATCATCCTTAATGTTTCTGTTATTTTCTTTAAAAAAAAACCTAATTCCATAAAACAGCTATAGAACCAGAAACAAACTAATAGTCTAGTCTGTGTACCAGTGTAAGTCAAGATACAAAGACAGCAAAAGGGGAAAAGACCATGAATAATCATAACCAATAATAGGCAGTTTACCAGTACAGAAACACCATTTCCACTAAACACAGCAAAAATAGAAATAACCAAAGACTGGCAATATTCTGAGCGACCCTAATCTTACAGGTTCAAAAAAATTATTAATGTCACAAAGTAAACTTCTGACAACAAAACATTCTAGACACTGCATACTATACTGCAAACTTCAATCCAAAAATAACACTTACAGTTAAGGCAGATGTTTAAAGGGCATTGTGCTTGTTTATGAAGCCAATTGTCACACTTAATCATATCAGTAAGCAGCATTTCATTTTTAATTAACTGAAAAATACACTTTTTCTTCCAAAGCAGCTAAGTAATCAAAAGCAGGCCTGGGTTAACCCACAATTCCCGATCTCTCAAGATAGCGGACTTTTTCTTCCCTCTCAGATCCGTTTCAGTGATGTTGCATTCTAATGTACTAATAATTTCTACTGACCACAGAGATGAAGCAGACTGCAGATGGAATCAGTCCATAATGTCCTGTAAGGATAATTACAGTGAAGTATAATGTCAACTGTAACACTGTAAGTAGTGCAGTGTAGCGTGTTAATCTGTTTGGCTGGAGACCGAAAGGAAATGCTTTAAGGATTAACCTTTCATTATATCTCATATTATCTTTAATCGTGGATCTGAATCTTTTTTTCCTCCCTCCAGAGAATCTAACCCAAACTCAGATTCGAATCTATTACCTGACAGTGCACATTTTACCCACAGCTAAAGATATAGTGCTGTCATTTTTGGTCTTAAACTTCTCATTTGATTGAATTTTTGAATCTGATTTAATCTTCTTCCTGATTTTTGCTTACATAAAAACAAACATTATTGTTTTCCTTTGATGGGGCAAACTGAGCACAATTTATTAATAATGCTGTACAGTTACAGAATTGTGTCGGTCATTTCTAAGATGTTGAAAAGTATTATTACTGCAACAGATAAGTAATTCTACTTTTATTTTTATAGTAGTATTTTTCCCCACTAAGAGAACATTTAGATTTGCAAAGAGAATGTTTACATTCAGTATCAAAATAAAAACGAATGTATAAATTAAAATGTATGAGTACATACATAGAAAACAATGCCATTTTTAACAAAAAGGTCTGCCATTCAATTATTTTTTAATTAAGTTAACATTTTATACAAACAAATAACTGGCCATAACTGACATTTTAAGCATATTCTATACTGTAATGCAAACCATACTGCAGCTCATCTTGAGCGAAGACAAAACACCTTACTTTTGCATTGTGAAATACAGGCATCGAGTTAATACTAAAAACTGTAAAGGTTGTTCAAAAATGTAAAAGTCACTAAAGCCACTAGAGGATATTTTAATTAGACCTTCTGCTTTTCTGTGTTTAACAGTCCTCCCTTTAAACTAATTACTGCATTTTACGCAACCACTAAGCTTAAATGAGGACACAAAGCTGCATTGTGGATATTTTCACAAACCATTAAAATGCTACAAATTTGTGTTTTAGAAAGAAGTACATGGATAATTAATGATGAAATTAATTCTCAGAAGACTTCCTGTACAACACATGGCAAAAAATAAAAGGACAAAGTCACACTAGTGGATAAATTAGGTTATTACAGGAATGAAACATGAGAAAGATCTGAAAATAAGTGATCAGTATTACCTCTCCACTGAGTTCCAATAACAAACAAAAGGAAAACAAATCAGAAGATCAAATGAAGAACAACCAACCTTGTTTAATTTTAACTTGAATCTTAATAAGCCCATAGCTTATTAATAAGCCAATAGCTCATAGTAATTCTAAAGTGGCATCACATCATCAAAAGTAAATATCAAAAACCAGATGCCCTAGCTATAATACACACATATTTTATATAAAAGGAACTGGAACTAACGA